TTATCTGGCAAAATCTGGCTAAATCCGGCTGTGCCAGATAGGATACAAAATCTGGCATTTTGGATCCAGCATCTGGCAGATTCATTTGCTGGATTTTTTTCAATCTGGCCCCTGCCAGATAGGATATGGATCTACCTGGCAATTTTTTTTACCTGGCAGATGCATTGCCAGATACTTTGCTGGATTTGCTGGATCCCGGATCGGATCAGGATAAAAAAAAAAATTTTGCCAGATGGGATCCTGGATATCTGCCAGATACATATCTGGCAAACATACTATAGGTTACATTTGTTGGCTCAGAGGCAAAGTTGTACAGCTTGCATGTCTCAAGGGATCTCTTGTGGCTTGATTGACAGCATCTTGAAGTTGGGTGTACAGTATTGTGATGCATATGTGGTCATGTTTGGACACCTCATGTAATGCTTGAACTTCTCTTGGAGTGTTGAGTGGTCAGTAGTAAGGTCCTGGACAGGTTTACAGAGCCTCTCGACAGTTGCATAGAGGTTTGCCATGAGTTTGGAGTCTTGAATTGAGGACATTGAGGTCGGAGGTTCTTGTGTGAACAGTAAAACGTTCCGGTGCTATCAGATGATACGGAATCAGTTTCTTGGATTGGAGTTTGCACTTAAGTTTGGATTGCATGAAAAGTTAAGCTTTAGAATAAAGTTGTTTTATTTCTTAATTCCCTCTCTCCTTGCAATCCCCAACCTTGCATCCCTCTTATACCTTTGGATTTCAAAGCCAAGGAAGTTTCCAGAAAGTGATGATGGAGATCAACCAATGTCAGGCTAATTTCAAATCAAATCAAATAAAATAAAATAAATATCCAAAAGAAACTTGGAAAGACAAGAGGAAAGACGAGGGTCTCCAATCACATGCTGATGGCCTAATGGTCTAGTAGTATGGTACTTCTTTAGGGTAGAAGCAGTCCCAGGTTCACTTCCCGGTTGGGCCTGAAAAATATTTTTGGTTTCTTTACTTGTTACATGGAGACAACAGACAAAAAACTGGAAACCGACAACGGCAGGATTTGAACCTGCGCTCCCAGAGGGAAACAGATTTCTAGTCTGTCGCCTTAACCGCTCGGCCACGTTGTCACATGAAATTGACCGGTAATAGGGCATTTTGATTACCTTTGATGTTCAGCGGGATTGGACTTGGAAAAGTCAAGGTTTTGGGAGGTACAGCATATCAGTCGTACAGGTTGGGGATGCAGGGATGTTGACTTTATTTCAAATAAACGACCATTTTAAAAATAAAATAAAGTTAACCACTTCTTAAGGCTCTGTTGGAAAAACATAGCTATGACCCAATATCATACCATAACACCAACCTCGAGGAGAGTACATGCCAGTAAGGATGCTGGTTCCTGATCTGTTTCATACTGGTGAAGTAATTTGGCATCGCATCGATCCAGCAGTTATAGACTGAACTGGTCAGATCATTTGATGAGTGCTTGAGTTTTTCCATTTATTTTCCACATGGCAAGCACTTTTTCAATTGTGCATGTTTTGATTTTGGTGTCAATCAAAGGGTGTTGTTGCATGATCCCAATAAAATTTCACAATTTCTTGGGATGAAAACAGGGTGTATGCCCCATTTGTGTGGCAGATCTAAATGATACAAGGGGACTGATCAGACTAGTTTGACCATGCAGTAAGGTCCTGAGTACTGCTCAGATAATTTGCTGATTGGTCTTCCTCTTAGATTTGGCAGTTTGAAATTCTGTGTCAATATAATGACAAGATCGCCAACCTTGAAAGGGGTCTCAAGTCAGCTTTGGTTTGTGGCAATGACATTTTGATCCTGTGCATTGTGTATCTGGTCCTTTGCAACCTGGTAAGTTGCTCTTAGATCTCTTAAGGACAAGGCATCAAAAGTGTTAAACTGTAGATTCAACAGGTTCTGGGGATGTCAACCATATTCCAAGAAAAACCAATTATATCCAGTCAACAAACTGATGGTATTGTTTAATCTGAATTTGATGATTTGAAGATTATCATCCCAATTGTCTTGCCAAAAGTTTACACATGATCAGAGAGCAGTAAGTATCCAATCATTCTTTTGTTCTGTTTGACCATCTGTATGTGGATGGTACAACATGGATTGTACTAATCTGATTTTTAGGGATTTGCATAATGATCTCCACAATTTGGAGGTGAACCAAGTATCATGATTTGAAATGAAACAGGAAGGAATTTTGTGATGCTTGAAGATCTCCTTTTTGAAGAGATCTGCAATGTTTCTGGCAGTCCAAGTCACTTGGATGGGGAAAATTTGGGTATGTTTAGTTCCTGAATCAATTACAACCATAATTGTATTGTTGTCATTTTTTCTGTAGTCAGAAGTTTTGTGATAAAATCCATGGATATTGTTTGCCAACAGTACAAAGGGAAATTGTGGTGCTTCAGTAAACCATAAGGGAGTCATCTTGCTATTTTGTTTTGTTGACATATTTCACAGGTCTGTACAAAGCATTGCATGTCAGTGTGGATCTTAGGCCAGTGAAAGTATTGAGTAATTTGTTCAGATGTCCTCTCCCAATTATTTTGAATAGAGGGACCATAGGAGTGGGCCTGTTTGACAATTCAGTGTCAGAGCAGAGAAGGTACATCAATTCTTGCATATGTTTTGTCAATGTAATGCCTGCATGGACACAGACCAGCTGTTCATGAATTGGACAGCAGCATCCACATAGCCAGTGTGTCAAGTAGATCTCGGAAGCATATCTGGGCTTGTCATGCAATAATCTGACTCTTAGGACATATCATAATATTTTTGTGACATTGTTTGCTGTTGTCATGTCATTCAGGTCAATCAAGTAATTCAAAATTTTGAGGAATTGGGGGTCAGTTCAGTTTGCTTCCTTGATTTCTTCTATGATTTTATCATTAATTTGTAGTTCCAAGAGGTTGAGTTTGTTTCTGAAATTGATTATGCTTCAGTGGATTTTGGGTAAGTGTTTACTTGAATTTTTACATCTTTTGTGTGACTGATTCTTGATAAACCATCAGCAATTATTCCAAGATCCAGGTTGCCATTGGATCTGGAAGTCATACACAAAGATGTCTGTGATCCATCAGTGCATCTATAGTATGTTTGCTGGATAAGTATCTGGACAATATCTGGGATCCTATCTGGCAAAAAATTATTTTTTTGTATCCTGATCTAATCTGGGATCTGGCAAATCTGGCAAAATATCTGGCAATGTATCAAAAAAAAAATTGCCAGGTAGATCTGTATCCTATCTGGCAGATAGGATACTGGATAATCTGCCAGATGCCAAATACTTTAGCCAGATACCTGCAAGATACTTGCTGGATGCCAGATGAGTGCCAGATAGTTTGCCAGGTAGTGCTGGATGCCAGGTAGTTTTGCCAGATACCTGCTGGATACTTGCCAGATGCCAGATACTGCCGGATCAATCTGCCAGGTGATCCCAACATACTATAAGTGCATCAGTGATGTATGGGACAAAGTTTGGGTTGATTGAGGATTCTTCATAAGGACAGTTGATCTGCTAATACTAATATTTGGGTTCCTTGGAAGTAAGCTCTGTGTTTTTGTAATGCTTTGACTAAAGCTAATGTTTCTCCTTCTTAGGGATGATAATTTGAATTGGCAGGGTTACATTTTTGTGAAAAAATGCAATTGGTTGCTCCACTGCCTTTTTGTCCAGTTGTACAACATAGCTGGCAATTGCTTTCTTGGACCAGTCTGTGTAGAGGGACAGGTTGAGTAGGATCAAACATCACAAGTAGTTTGGGATTCAAAAGGGATGTTTTTGCTGTGGCAAAATCTGTACAGGTGAGTCCAAATTTGTTCAAAAGAAATTGATTTGTGCCCTCACAGGAGATCAGATAGTGGTGCAAGTAATTCTGCAAATTTTTCAACAAATTGGTAGATTGTATTTGCAAGTCTGAAATGAATGGAGTTCAGAATAATTGGTTGGTTTTGTAATAGTGGGAGTCCCTCAAAAGGTTTGAAAGCCTCTGGGTATTTACTTATAATATCTTTAATTTCTGAATTCAGCTCAACAAAAACTGAGATGGCTGTGGCAGATAAGATAAAAAATCTGCCATTTTGGATCTGACATCTGGTAGATTGACTTGCTGGATTTTTTTGGATCTTGCACCTGCCAGATAGGGGATGTACTTGGCAATTTTTGTTACCTGGCAGATGGATATTTTGCTGGATTTGCCAGATCAGATCAGGATACAAAATTTTGCCAGATAGGATCCTGGATACGTATCTGGCAAACATACTATAGACACAATGCCTGGCGGCTCTTGAATATGACAGAAGCCTGTTGGCAACAAAATTTCACACATTGGTTGGGTACTTATTCTTGAAGGGAGATCAACCATAAACCTTGATAGCATGACCACAGTCTTTGCGAGGCTAATAGACAAGTTGCCAGTGCATTGAATGCTGAAATAGTCACATAGGACTGCTTGAAACAACAATCAACGAGCATGGTGGCGTTCCTGGGCTGAAAGAAAGCAGGAGGTCGGGAAATGCACATTGCTCGCAACGCAATACATCCGGCACGCGTGCAATGTGTGGCGTAATGAACAACTTCGGGCCCGCGATTGTTGTTCACAAGAGAAGTCGGCCAAAAAGAAAAAGAAAAAAAAAAAAAATCTAAAAAAATCTACATTTCGACACGATGGCTTCGTTCACGGTGGCCATCGTCGGCGGCGGGTGTGTCCGTGTGCGCCACGGGCGTGAGCAGCTGACGGTCGTGTTCCACGCTCCAGGTTCGGCGGGATCGACGCGGCGATCCAGCTGCGTAAACGGTTCCCCGAAGCCTCGTTGGCGCTGTTCGAGGCCGCCGATGAACTGGGCGGCGTATGGTGACTCGAATTCTTCCGTGCATGCGGCTGTCTTAACGGTTGCTTATTTATTCTCTCACTTTCAGGCAATGGAACACGTATCCAGGATGCGCTTGCGACATTCAGTCGCACCTGTACTCCCTCTCCTACGAACTGAAGCCAGGTTTGCGAAGTGTGCCAGGCGAGGCCCTGACACCCCTCGAAAAAAGATTGGACAGACAACTTCTCGAAAGCCGCCGAAATCAAGCAGTATCTGCAGGGCGTAGCGCGGAAGTACGGAGTGACAGAATTTTCGCGGTGAGCGAAATCGTCGGGCCGCAATGTGCACTAAATTTTTTATCGGTTTTTCCGCTCCGAAAAAAAAAAAAGGCTCAAAACTACAGTCGAGACACTCACTTGGATTGAATCGCGCAACCAGTGGCTCCTCGTCTCCCGCACAGCAGGCGGCGGCGGCGGGACGGTCACGGAGGAGCACTTTGACTACGTGGTGTCGGCGCAGGGCCCGCTGCATATTCCCAAGATCCCCGATTACGACGGGATCGAGAAATTCGAAGGCGACGTGTTCCATACGGCGCGATGGAAGAGCGATTTCAACGCGCAGGGCAAAGTCGTAGCCGTGATCGGCACGGGCGCGAGCGCCGTCCAGGCAATCCCGGAGCTAGCCAAAACGTCCAAGGAGCTCGTCGTGTTCCAGCGGCACGCGGCTTGGATAACGACAAAGGCGGATTACAAGTACAGCGCGGTTGCGAAGTGGTCTGTGTGTTTGCAGTGTGGCGCTGCGTCTGAGGCACCTAAAACCAACAATCAGGGTCTTCCGTAACGTCCCGCTGGCGGCGCGCATATGGCGGTACATGATATTCTGGTCGCACGAGTACCAGTACCTGGCGTTCCGCACAGACAGCAGGATATCGCGGGCGCTGCGGGGGCTTGTGCAGATGCAAACGGCAGCGTTACTGCGCGCGCAGGTTCCGGACGCGCAGAAGCGCGCGGTGCTGACGCCGCATTATCCGTTTGGTGCGCGGCGCGTGACCCCCAGCAACCAGTACCTGCGCGCAATGGCCGGCGCCACGGTCGTGGACGGCGATCCGGTGGTGCGCTTCGAGCCACGCGCCGTGGTCACTGCGTCTGGCCGCGTCGTGCCCGTCGACGCCGTGGTGCTTGCTACCGGGTTTGTGCTGAACGGCGGCAACGCCGGAATCATGATCCGTGGCAGGTGCGGAAACCGTTTGGCGGACGGCTTCGAAGCTTCATACCGATCAACT